TAACATAGTTTTTGCATAGATTTTGCAGAAATAACATCAGAATTCATATTTATTTACCATTTTTGTTGGTGGAATACTGCCCACCAAATTTAAATTTTTTTGACGATTACAACCCTCTATATCTCAAAAACTATAAACATTGGAATAAGACAAGTTGAGTTATTTTCGTATCTTTTATTCTCTACTCTTAAAATTTCTGCACAACTATTAGAATCACCCTGTATAGTAGATACAGGGTGAGTCACTAATAACTGCTCTTTTATCATACTCTTAATACAGGGTGAATAATAATTGACTTGACTAGACACATCTCTGCCTAATCAATCGTTTCGTGCAAAACTCTTTTACAGGGGTAACGTCTACGCCCACTAAGAAAGGATATAGTATTCACCCTGAGTTTGATCATATACAGGGTGATTTTTGTAAGTCCTACATGAGAAACTTTTCAACTTCTAATGTGACTATAATTTTGGCATTTTYTATTCTCACTTCAATTAAATTATTTTCAAAATAGCTGAACTTCCGAAACTACAAGAAATTGGCGCCAACTTTGAAATTGTGAATGGAAACCAATAATTTTTACCGCACTTTTAAATTCGCCTTTTCAAAGTTGTTGGTACTTATCTGTCATAGTTTTTGACATTTGCAAGGGTTCATTTAAAAAATCACAGCTCTTGAACCCTTTGCAATAAGTGAATAATTTTTTTTGCATTTGATAACCGAAGGTTTGAAAAATCTGCTAAGATAGTTCAAGAGTTTTTGCGAAAGGAGACGACAGTGGCGGATGGCGTGTGGGGTTCGGGCTTGGTTGACTGCACCTTCGACGGTGTTAAAATACTAAACTTGGGGAAAATTTGGTGTTTTTGGCCTAAAACGCAATTTCGTTATTTTTGATCAAATTATTTGGTTCAACAATGAATTACATAAACCACAAACAAGTTATGAACTTCCGTAAATTAAATCCTTGATTAAAATCTAGGTTATCTAATCTTAATTTATACTTTACCAAATACAATACTTGCTTTCACTCTATCTACAAGAGACCTAAATGTCGAAGGAGGAAATTAGGTGAAAAATGACATAATCCGAAATTATCTAATTCAAGAATGTGGAAAGTTAAACTGATTTTTAACGATTTTCTAAAGAATTTTAATAATTTTGAGTTTGTGTGAGAATTCTTCAAGAACTCAAAAAATAGTAATTTTTAAAGTCGGCACAATAACGTGTTGTGAACTTTTTTGAGTCTTTAGGACCTCTAGAAATGTAAAATATGTTATATGGATCAATTTTAGAGTTGAATTTTTTATTTTTTATTTTTGTGGAAATTTTGGTCGATTTTTGGCACCCGGAGCGGCCTATTGTCAATAATTCCAGACTTATTATTGATAATAACCTCTTTTGTTTGGTACCGTTAGAAAGCAAATTTAATTTTCTATCATATACAAAAAATATCAGTATTAGACAATAAATAGTTATCGAGAAAATTTCTGATAAAGGCAAAAATATCAAAAATATAAATCCGCTTATAACTTTAAATGTCTAGGTCAAAATATTATATCATTGAGATAACAGTTTTTTCGCAATTTACAAGAGAAAAAAAATTAAAAATTTGAGGATTTTATCTCAAAAACTCAAAAAATTCGTAGTTTTTTAAACTTGACCCAGTAGTCTTATGCATTTTTTATTAAGTTTTTGAAACCTCTAGAAATGTAAAAAACGTTATATGGATCAATTTTAAAATTGAATTTTTTTTTGATTTTTGTCAAAATTTTAGTCTATTTTTGTATATTATTTTGTATTTTAGACTTACAATCAAAATTTTTTAGCTGTTTTTTTTTTTATTTAAATTTTCAAAACTAGAGCAAAACAAAGAATTTGGGCTACAGACGCGCAATTTTAAAATAGTAAAAAATTTCTGAGTTTCCGACCCAAAATTTGAGAGTTCGATCCCTGATCCCGATCATTTTTTTTCTTTCTATCTCTTAAACTAAAGTAAAATAAATAACAAAAATGTAAAAAAAAGATAAAATAATGTCAAAAAAGAGTAACGAAAGAATGTATAGTTTCAGAAAACTCAAAAACTAAATTTTATAACAACGTTTCATAACATACATTTTTTAGAGTAAAATAAAAATTTGGGCAGCAGCCGCAAGTCGTAGCTGGATTTCGGATGTCAAATTTCGAAAATAATTGAAAAAAGTTTTCCAACACAAGATTTGAGGGTTCGATTCCTGGTCTGGATCAATTTTTTTTGTATCTTATAACAAATGAACAAAAACACGATTAGCCCGTCACACCAAACTTTTATTTTAATAGCACAACGCGTTTCGACCACAAAGTGGTCATCCTCAGGTGAGAATAAAACTCGTTTTATATAAAACGAGTTTTATTCTCACCTGAAACGCGTTGTGCTATTAAAATAAAAGTTTGGTGTGACGGGCTAATCGTGTTTTTGTTCATCGTTTCCATACCAAGAAGATCCAAGAAGAAGAAGACTTATAACAAAAATAAAATAAATTACAAATATTGAAATAAAAGAAAATATAGGCAAAAAATTTTGTTTCAGTAGACTCACAATCAAAATTCTATTTATTTTAAATCTAGCTAAATTAGAAAAAAACTTCTTAATTCCCGACTCAAAAGATATAAAAATAAATAACAAAAATTGAGAAAAAAGAAAAAACAATAGTAGCTGCAACAAGAATTTAGTGGTGGCAGACACAAAAGGTACATAGTTAGATCTTAGAAGTCAAATTTTAAAAACAAAAATTTTTGAGTTTTTGACCCAAAATTGGAGGGTTTGATCCCTGGTCTGGATCACTTTTTTCTTTCTATCTCTTAAACTGAAGTAAAGTAAAAAATTTGAGAAAATAAAGAATAGAGTCAAAAATAGGAACAAAAGCAAGAACTTATAATTTCAGAAAATCTACAGACTAAATTTTCTAACAAGGAAACTAGGTCCTATAACATAGATTTTTTTTTGATTTTTGTCGAAATTTTAGTCGATAATTTTCAAACTGAAACTGAAATTTCCCGGGTTTAGCAACACCAACTGATTTTTTCCACGCTAATTACGCTGAAGTACTGTAATTGTAATCGTCGCTTGATAAATCCAAAATCTAATCAACTTTAATCGTTAAAAATTAACACAATCCAAGAACATTTAACGCATTTTCTGAGATTCTAGACCCTCAAAGAGTGTAAAAAACGTCATTTCTTTCGACAATAGGCACGTTTAGAGTACTTATTACCAATTTAAAAAATTAAACAAATGTATTTGATTGTGCAAAATAGATATCGACTAGAAACGTATCGCACTATCACTCAAAAATGTTATCTCAGTTTACTACGAAACAAAAAAATCCAGTGTACATACTATTTGCAAAGATTACTCAGGTATTTCTCATGAAACAATCCCATTACATAGCGGAATAATAAAAAATACGACTCATTTATCACAGTTTTAATTTACAATAAAACACACACTTGAGCCTTGTTTATTATCCATTCCCTCCTCCGCCACTGTCCTCTTCACCTGCTCGACGAGTAAAGCAGGCTCTGAACCGAACTATAAAAACGCCGTAATCCGGTAGCCGGATTATCTTCAATTAATGATCATTGACAGAAAAAAGCCATTTAATCGATCAAAACCATTCTTATTACGATTCGACTCGAGAAAGTGAATTTTAAAAATAAAAACAAACTCCACAAAACAACCACATCCGGCATGTGCTAAACACATTTAGAAACACTTTCCTGATGAATGATCGATAAAATGCGATACTAGGGACGATATTCGAACCCCATAAGGGCCCTATTTATTATTTGACCATCACAAACCGCTAAATGGAGGGAAAGTCGCCATCACTTTCATTATTATTTCGAGACATAGGGGACCAAGATAAAGTGTAGAAAGTTGGCTCATATTTCAAATAAGGCTGAAGGCTTATCTCGAGTATTATAAAATTATCCAAGACATGCAAACATAAATCGAGTGGAAAGTTGGCGTATTGTCACCTGGACATTGACGAGACAATAAATAATTTCACTTATTTACATTGAGCGAAAGTAAAAAAAATGTGAGGTTAAATCGGATTTCTAAAGTCGGCCATTTTGGCCCCCGCCCTACTCAATGCTACGCCACTGGTGACTGAAATTAATTAAAGTTACCTTATCGAGCGGATTTTGTGTGGTTTCAGGAGAACTCGGCATTTTATCTGATTATATCTCATTCCGGTTCTGTTCCGCCCTTTTTCAGCACTTCAGCTTTCAGCAACCCAAATCCGGAAAAATCAATACTGAAATTTGAACCGCACTAGAATTTGTCCAATTTCACTCAAACAAAAATTTAATACAACACAAATCCAATTAATTAATTACAATCACAAAAAACGTGTGACGCCATTTATAAACAAACTTTTGACAGATGTTGACACAAACGACAGCTAGCACCACGTAGTGGCGAGTAGCACAACAACTGAAACGTCATTAAAACATTGAAAAACCGCAAAAATGTACTTAATAATTACTCTATCACTGAATTATTACCTAATTGTCTCTCCTTTGTGTAAATAAAGCTTGATTAATGAGATAAGTGAGGTGTCTTGTCCAATTTTTTGTGACAGTTACATAACCTATAATGTTGCGTCGGGGTTTCGTAATTTTGCGACGGTTTTCAACCGCGGGGCCCAAAGGGGGCCCCTCGAGCCGCTTCCAGTACACGATTAGGGCAGCTTTCGGCAAGTATTTGCTCGTGACAAACACGGTGAGCTCGGGGGTGCTCATGCTCCTGGGGGACGTGGTCGAGCAGGAGTTCCACCACGATTTCAAGGCACGTGGGGATGAGCCCCGCTACGATTACGCCCGTTTAGGTATAGGAATTTGGTTTTTGAGCGAATTTTAGGTCGTTTTCAGGTAGGATGTTTCTGGTGGGTTTGGGGATGGGGCCCGTCCACCACTACTATTACGGTTTTATTAACAAATTGTGGCCTTTGCGGGACATGGTGACTGTTAGTAAAAAGATTCTAGCCGATCAGATTGTTATGTCGCCGATTTGTATAGCCCAGTTTTTTTATACACTAGGGCTGCTAGAACAGAAACCTGTAAAGAGGATAAATGAGGAGTTTTTAGGCAAATTTGGGGCTGTCTACACGGTAATTAGTCGATTAATCTGCCGGATTAGTGGTTTTGATTTGGTTTGTTGCAGATGGATTGGTGTGTGTGGCCCCCGACACAATTTATCAATTTTTATTTAATCCCCTGTAGATATCAAGTTATTTATATTAATTTCGTCACTATGATTTATAACGTATTTTTATCGTATATCAAGCACGAATATTAACCAATTTAAATAAGACCAAAAGTATTGCAATGCCAAGAGAGAAATAATGAAAAATAAAAATTATGCAACCAGTTATACGTGTTTTATTTCAAGGCCAACAGTGGCGACTCGAGAGTTTCGGGTTCAATTCCTGGGTTGGTCAATTTTTTTAATGAATAAAATAAAAGTGACATATGTAACAAAACCTTGAAAAACAAAAAAAAAAAGATAAAAATAGTAACAGCAACATCTTAAATCTCTAAGAAACGAGTAAAATAACAGATTTTTGGATCAGTCTTATTTTTTATCTAAATTTTTCAAAACTAGAGTGAAATAAAGAATTTAAGCAGCAGACGCAAGAAGTAGATGGATTTTAGATATAAATTTCACAAATATTGTGCGAAAAATTTTCGAGGGTTCAATTCCTGGTTCTGACAATTTTTTTTTCTCTATATGAATAACATAAATTAAGAAAAGAGAAAATACAGCAAGAAGAATTTAGTTTCAACAGACTTACAAGCAAAATTTTCTAGCTATTTTTTATCTACATTTGCAAAACTACAGTAAAATAAAGAATTTAGGCAAATTAAAAACAATTAGTAACAAATTTCTGAGTTTTTGACCCAAAATTTTATTCCTGGTCTGGATTATTTTTTTGTATATTGTATATAATAAAATAAATAACAAAAATTAAAATAAATGAAAATATAGTCAAAAAATGGTAACAACAAGAAGAATTTTGTTTCAAATCTAGCTAAATTAGCAAAAGAAATTTTAATTTCCAACCCAAATTTTGATATAAAAATAAATAAGAAAAATTGAAAAAAGAAAGGAAATCGTCAATAAATAGTAACAAGAATTTAGTTTCAGTAGATATACAATTAAAATTTTTAACAATTTTTTAAGGATTTTTTTAAACTAGAGAAAAATATACATTTTAGAAAACAAACGCAAGAAGTGGGAGGATTTTGATTGTCAAGTTCCAAAAATAATTGGCAAGGTTTTCCGAGGGTTCGATTCTTGGTCTGGATAATTTTTTTTGTATTTATTAAACGAAAGTAGAATAAATAACAAAAATTTAAAAAAGAGAGAATATAGTCAAAAAACAGTAACATAAGCAAGAATTTCGTTTCAGTAAATTCACAATCAAAACTCCAAATTCTAAATCTTGCTAATTTTTTTGATTTTTGTCAAAATTTTGCCCGATTTTCGGCAAATAACTGGAATTACTATAAAAAGAATTTTTTGTTTGTTATTAAAAAAAAGTGAAAAGAAAAGTAAAGTAGAATAAAGAATTTAGGCAACACACGTAAAAAAGTAGGTAAATTTCGGATATTAAATTTCAAAAATAGTTAGGAGAAAATTCCCAACACAAAATTTAAGGGTTCGATCCCTTGACTGGCCAAATTGTTTATTTTTGTATTTCTTAAACGGAAACAAAATAAATAATAAAAATTTAAAAAGGAGAAAATAGAGTCAAATTTGGAAAAATTAGCAAAAGATTTCTGAGTTTCCAACTCAAAATTTGAGGGTTCGATCCCTGGTACGGACAATTTTTTTCTTTCCATCTCTTACACGAAAATAAAATAAAAAACAAAAACCGAAAAAAGAGAGAATACAAACTTCCAAAATATTTTTCTATTCACACACACAAAATTTGAAAAAAAATATGCAGGGTGAATCCGGAGGATGCGATTTTTATTATTAAAAAATTAAAACAAAAGTAAAAGAAAATAAAGAATTTAGGCAACAAACCTAAAAAAGTACGTAGATTTCGTATATCAAATTTCAAAAATAATTATTAGGAAAGGATTTCCACCACAAAATTTGAGGATTCAATTTCTTGTCTGGAGATATTTTTTTCTTTGAACTTCTTAAACGGAAACAAAATAAATAACAAAAATTGAAAAAAAAAAGAAAATAGTGAAATTTCGGACAATTAGCAAAAGATTTCTGACTTTCCAACTCAAAATTTGAGGGTTCCATCCCTGGTCTGGTCAATTTTTTTTCTTTCTATCTCTTACACGAAAATAAAGTAAATAACAAAAACCGAAAAAAGAGAGAATACAAACTTCTAAAATATTTTTCTATTCACACACACACAATTTGAAAAAAATATACAGGATGAATCATTAGTCAGACATCGGAGGATACGATTTTTATTATTAAAGCTACAAATATAAAATTTGGTCTTATTACACAGTTGCCAAATCTGCATCGATTCAAATTATTTTGAAATATGTAAGGGGTCCTATTATTCCAGGACCGTATTCAACTTTTTTTTAATTGACAACTCATATTCATGTTCATATTGGTCGTGCTTGTATTTAAATTTCGGTTGCGGCGTTGCCAAGTTATCGATTTTTTTGCAACTTTATTACTAACAATAGAAAAGTAAAATTTTGCACTGTATATTTTTTTAATAAATCACACATTAAATTATTTTTTTTTAAGTTTTTCTGCATCGTAATGCAGTTTCGTCGTATTTTATAATTAAATTTTGGTTGCGGCGTTGCCAAGTTAACGAATTTCTTCAAAATTTTGAAAATATTTAAATTCTTGTAGCAACTTTATTACTAATAATAGAAAAATAAAATTTTGTACTTTGGTAAAGCAGCTTCAGCTCTCTCGTTTGATGTATTTTTTTTGTTATACAGGGTGATTACATTTTTAATGATTCACCCTGTATAATTTTTTCTGCGTCCCAAATCCATCAAACCCATTGTCCCAGATAATGACTGGAAACAAGTATCGTCGACCTTCCCAAAGCCGTATCTAATTCCACCTGCATCGCAGACAAAACTACCTTCCCGACCATCATCGTCCTCTACGTGGTTCAGTCAACATTAAAACGCGCTGCTAGATATGTACCGAAAAATAGTGATCGCGATAACGTCGCTCTTATCTCGATAAGCGGCCCTCGACTATGTCACACATAGTTTAGTTTCGGTGTAATAAAAGTGTGGAAATGTTCAAAAAAAATCGCCCGAAGCCGACGCTGGCCCACTCGGACGCGGTGGAAAACAACAACGTGGTGAAGAGCAAAGTGCCCCCGTCCCCGGTGTCGCCCATCAGCAAGGCCTCCTTGCAGTTCCATTGCCAGCTCGCCCACGGCAGTCCCACGGTCTTCGTCTCCGGATTCTCAAACGTCAAGGAACTCTACCAGAAGATCGCCGAATGCTTCGACTTCCCACCCTCGGAGGTACATTTCAAGGGGTCAAAAATAATATTTAGACACCTTGGGGGTTATCTGATTAGATAACGCGATCTTTCATCCGTTACTTTTTTACAATCTTGATTTCGAGTGGCACCACTGGTACCAGAGAGAGTTCTCGCCGCGCAATTACTTCTTTTCTTATTGCAACATGTTCGCAATTAACTTTATTGATAAGAAAACTTAACGGTGAAATACTGAGCTTCCTTAATTAATTTCGCAAAAATGTATCGTCCACTTAACAAACGACCAATAAAATGCCATTTAACGACTTGTTAATATCCACAAGTTATCAACAATGTAAATACGGGCATTCCGATTACATGCGGGTATGCAATATAACTGTTTGTTTTTTTTCTAATCCCGGATGTGTCATTTAATTTTTGAAATTACGCCAAACACGATTTTTGCCCAACAAACGGTTAGTTTCATTGTTTATTGAATTAAAAAATTTCAATACAGTTAAACAACTCTTTTGTTATTGACATAAATCAGAAATAATTATGAGAAATAAATTAAGAAATTCAAGTTGTGACACTGCAATTACGTAAAACTGGAAACAATTCTCCGGAAAACAATTAAATTACGTACAGTAGACATTCAAAATGTCCCCAAACCTTTATTTTAATTTAATTTAATTAATTAAATAATTATTTTGAACTAAAATTTGTAATACCTTGTATACCGGGTGCGCCAGAACTCGCGCCCCAGAAAAAAAGAGTAAGGTAGGATACCAGGAACATGCACAAAATATTAAAAAAAAATATCTATAAAAATCTCTTATTATTAGAGTTATGAGTTATTACAAAGAAAGAAAATGACCAAAAAAATTACTTTGTTGAAGTAAAATAAAAGAGAAAGGAGCGGTTTGACTAAACAAAAACAAAAAAGGGATAAGAATAACAAAACAAAAAGGGATAAGAATAAATGAGAGAAAAAAACTAGACAAAAAAATTAAAAAATTTTGCAGTTGAATTTATGTTAAAGAATTTAAAAAAAACCAATAAAAATAAAATCAAAAATAGAAAAAGAGACAAAAGAAGCAAAAAGATTACAATGATAACATATTTAAGAAATGTTGTTTTAACGTAAGGTAAGGATGAAGAGGTAGTTATAAGAAGACAGAATTATTATTCCTATTAGAGAGTTTTTATATTAATGTGCATCGAAGTAGTCGTTGAAAGGGATCATTTTAAGATGGCAATCATGCAAAAATTCAAACAATCCTAACCTCAATCTTTCCCAAAAATTATTTTCTTAAATAAATATGTGTACCCCATTTTTTGAAATATTAAAAAATAATTAAAATTAACAAGGTGGCAAAGAACAAATGTTTTGTCATTATTAATGTGATTAAATTTGTTATGAATTACATTAATGACAATTTTTGTGTGAATCGGCCTAAATTAAAGATGCATTTAGACTTCTACAACTTATTTGATGCTCATTAATATGAATACGAATATTGATATAAGAATAATTCACATAAAAAACGTTATTATGAAGAAAAGTAAAAAACAAAGAAGCGATGGATAAAAGAAAAAAAAAGTAAACAAAAACGTTACGTTTGAAATTAAAAATGTAAAAAAACTATAGGAAAAATCAAAGTAAAACAAAAAGAAGAGAAAATAGGTATATTTTGTAGAGATATGCAAAAATAAAGAAAACAAATGTAAGATCATCGAAAGAATGTGACGTAAGATAAGAACAGCAAGGAAAAAATACAGCGTGCGCCAGAACTCGCGCCCCAGAGAAAAAATGTTAAAAAAATTGTATCTATAAAAATTTCGAAGTTATGAGAGTTTAAATTTTGCACTTTGACTCTATTTATTCTTATTGAAAAAAATATTTTCTTAATTTTTTTGCTACAGGCTATTAGAAGAACAAAACAAGAGAGCTGTATCCTAATTTGTGACTCTCTTCAATTTTATTTGTGGTTTTTATTGTCAAAATTTTTGTACTTTTACTAAATAATTATAAAAAAAACATACAAGATTATCAGTATTATTAAATAGACATAAAAATGTCAAATGACAAAAAATAAATATCAACATTTTTTGACAGATAGAATTTTTTAAATATTTTTTTCATGTCTTTCTGGGGCGCGAGTTCGACACACCCTGTATTGAATTTTAGCGAATTAGAACACATACAACTTCTAGAATCAATAAAACACAAACGAAGACTTTAGTTATATTCAGTAATTTAGTGAGTTAGATAAAATTTGATTAAACTGAATTATAATTTAAGCAAATTGTTTACTACCTCGAAAACTCGAACAATGGAATTGCAACAAATACAAATTAATTAAATTACGAATTAGAGAACTGATTACTACGTAAAATCAATAAAACACCGAAGAAGTCTGTAAATTAAATTAAATTAAGTTGGATTACAAACAATTCATTTAAAAATCGCCAAATTCGAACAAATTAAATTTATTGTTTGTCCAAAATGTCCCCAAATTTGTTAATTTCATTAAATATAAATAATTAATTAAATGTAAACTGAAAGTTATATAAAAACACTACAATTTAGAAAATTTTAGATTATAGCATTTGTTGAAATTATTATGTAAATTGAATTTTAGCGAATTAGAACACATAACTTCATAGAACCAATAAAACACAGAGGAAAACTTTAATTAAATTCTATAATTTGTTTGAATTACATAAAATTCGTTTAAACTGAATTCTAATTTAAGCAAATTGAAATGTTTACTGTCTTAGGGCAAAAGTTTCTCGAAATTAGCCTTTAATTAATCCAAAAGAAGAAACTGAAATTAATTTGAATTACCTATTTTTAAAAATTTTAGAATATCGTAGTTTCAAATAACATTGAATTGCAACAAGTATAAATTAATTAAATTAAATTTTACGGAATTAGAAGATTCATGATTACGTAAAGTCAAAAAAAATTGAAGAAATTCATATACCTAGAAATTTAATCAAATTAAGTTGAATTACATACCATTTATTATTAATTAAATTAAATTGTCTCAAGATAAAAAATATTACCTAATTAATTAATTTAAATTAATTTAAACTTGCAATATGTGAAATACGGAGTAACACTTTAGAATAAAGCAGTTTTTGAACCAAATTACGTAGAATTATAAATATACCAGAAATTAATTAAATTAAGTTTTCCGAATTAGGACTTTGGTAATTATGTAAAGGTAACAAGAAAAACACTACTTCTAAATCAATTAGATGAAAATAAATTGAGTAATTAGATTAATTAAATTAAATTAAATGAACCTATTATACTTATTTAC